TAGTTACGTGTCACATCATGTGAAAGAGCACTTGAAAAGATATTTCAAATGTGTTACACGTCTCCCCCCCTCTTTCTCTCTCTGAGAACTAGAATCTGTCGTAAGACCCTTTCCCAAATACTTCGTGCGAGAAGGCATCGCGGAGACCCCATGTCCGATATGAAATCGATTATTAACGTTGACTTCGTCGAAGAACCGAGATCCAACGGCATGGAACGGCTCTCGAAGTTATACGACGTGCTCGGAAAGCTTTCGCGACGCCAATACAATGAATGATGTCAATATAGGGAAAAAAACCGTTTCAGAGCTTTTACGCACGCCGCCATGAACTTATCAATGTCGCTTTTATGTTCTACATTGTTGACGGAATCGCAAAATCGCCCACACATGTCACTAAATTCGATTATCCCGCTGAAATGACTGACGGGTTACACGAGTTTTGACCGAAAACGATTTCGTTCATGGTGTATTCGCAGGTATTTATTCCGATATGCGATGAAAAAACGACGATAAAACAATGTGATGCGCTAATGTATATTAATAATGCATTTTATAAATAATAAATTGTACAAGCGTAACGAAAAATGGGCGTTATTTATTACCGCTCCTGTTTCCCGGCCCCATTAACGCTCATTTCGAATCAATTTGGTCAAGTTGATGCAAAACAATGGGATTATAAATATAACAAAGAAATAATAGCGGGGAGAAAAAGATGGCAACGCCGGCACGATATACGTTCGTTAAAAAATTTCCATTTTCAATGGCTGTGGTAAAAAGTAATTGTCCCGATATCTTTTTGCAGTTTTCAGAAAGATATTAATATAAAGAACGTGGCGTAAATGGGATGGCATTCGCCAGTAGATTAACATAGAAGAATACTAAATGCTAAAAGCTTTAATAAATATATTAATGTTAAAAGGGTGTGCGTCATCGACATAATCTTGTGCTCGGCGGGAACGCGATTCTTTTGTACGTTCTCTTTTGGGGACTTCAGGAATCCATTCTAAGCGGTTATTAAATGACGCTCTCGTGCAGGGTTGGATCGTCCACTTGGTGCCAGAAGCAATCGTACTCCGTCATCCCACTCCGAAAACTATGAGGCGTTTAATTAACTCCGGGGGAGGCCAGGAAAGAGACCGTAGAATTCACATGCAAATGCTCTGTGACACGATTGCGGAACAATCATTTCTTTTTCCAACTGAAACTCGGCTGGCAAAACGACCGCCGACTTCTGACACTTGGCGCCAGATAAATTCCATACGGAAATATCTCCATTTTAACGTAAAAACAAAATCCACCGAAGAAAAAACACGTGAAAAAGAAACATAAAAATGAGACGCCATATATCTTTTTCCTCGGAGCGTGTTGCTTACTCAAAAAAAAAATACTTTTTCAGAAAAAGAGAATATTTTAATGAGAAGACGACGAGAAAAAGTGAAGGGTCGCTGTTATTTCCGTTATATGCAAAGGAATGCTTAGATATGCTAATGTCATTTTAATATCGTAGAAACAGCGATTGCGACGAGACCGGTCGGGGAGTATGAAGTAATTTTGAATTATCACATTCCGATGATAATGAACATCCGCAACGTACCATCGGTATAGATAGCGAAATTTTATTTTTACACGGCTCGTCGTTGGTTTGAGTAATCGGATGTGCGAATGAGTCACCACGTCGCGAGTGGCAAAGTAGTCACGTCACGCATAGGTCAGCCACAAAGTAAAGAATGCCGTAATCGACAGACTGATGCTACCTGCGAAAGTTGACGCGATTGTACGGTAATTTCGTAATAAAATTGTTATTATTTTCTCTCTACTCTTTCCTGGCTCTACCTTTTTACTTTGCGGATAGGACGCTCGTAGATTGCATTAAAATTCGTTAAAATGCAAATCTTTATAATATTGTATCTTTATACTGGCATAACATAAAAAAAATATTTATATAATATATTGTCAAGGCTCTTTACGCAGTGGTTTTTATTATCTATTCTATGGTTTCTTATTGTATTCATTATTTTATTGACTCGAAAATTTCTTGCAACGCATAATTGTGAGAAATTATTATGAAATAATGATTTTTATGACGCATATACGATATGCGTTATTATGTTTTAAGAATATGTGTTGTAATTTCTTTTAAAAAAAATCCAATTTTATTAATAAGGGTGCAATGTTAAAATGTATCTTAAATTTTGCATAGTCAAGCTTTATATAATTTTCAGGCACTATCGCTCGTTGTCACGTGCAGAGTATAAAAAATGCGCACCCGGAAATTAAAGATGACGTATCCCACGTCGCTTAATTTACATTCTCGCCGTGCAACGCGATTAAATTTTAAATTATTATACATCGGGTGTTCAACATTTTTCCAATAAGTGGCATTTATAGGCGAAAGAAGTGGAGCTCCTCCACTCGGAGCCCGGTCGATGGCATTCTGCTCACGCGTTTACGATGCGAAACGTAAGAACGCGATTAATCGCGAGCAGGAGTCGTCGGATCGGGACAGAGAAATAAAATATCGCGAGGCGTAAGGGAGACGGAGGAGAGACGGGGACCGAGAGGACGGCAAGCCGATCACCGGCTCGAACGGTTCGAGTTTCCTCGCGAAAGGCGAACGTCGTTGCTGGAGATAAGATCGCAACGGGACGACGAGAAATTGTTTCCACCCACTCTCGCGCTGTCCCCCCGCGTGCACGCTACACTTGGACACGACCGCCTCGGACAGCGGTCGGGAGGCAGGATAGACGGGGAGGAAAAAAAAATTACTAAATCCTACCTGATTCAACGGCTGAATCCATTGAGCGGCGGTTTGATATCGCCGGAGGATATCTCTGTTGCTTTGAAAGGAAGAGGGATTTGAAGGAAGAAGGATACAGCGAAGGAGCGGGCCTTTGAGAGGAGACGGAAGGAGATCCCCGAGACCAGGGTGGAGAGAGACGGAGGAAAGAAGGAGCGAGAAGAGGGCTTACTCTGACAATACATCCGCTCCACGGGGGTAACGCGAGGGGCTGCTGACTGACAGACAGCTCCTGTCTACTAGATATCCGAGCAAAACCTACACCTCCCTCCCCCCCTCCCTATACGCTGTATAGTATCAGCCATCCTGCGTCGGGAGATCCGCCACTTCTCCCGTAAATCATAGAAAGGGAAGCACGCGCATCTAAAAGTCGGAACTCTCGGGAACGTTTCAATAATGTGCATTATAAGATTTCCTTTTGTGATCGGCCGTAATCAGCGGACTCCGCCCTGCTTGATCCAGAAACGTTTTCCGCGTCTCTCCAAACAGAGCACCGCCACTCGGGGTCACGGGAATACGTCCGATAAATGCTACGAAAACCACGGGGAAGGTTTTTTTAAGGTTTTTCGGTAGCGACGGGCGCGCTGCCAGCCCGATAGCGGTTATAGGGGCAAACAATCGCCTATCTCGGGCGATTGTTTGCTCCCTTGTAACAAGAACGCTCGTTTCTGCTACTTAATGAAGCACCTCTCGTGCCACCTTTTACGGCGCGACGTGGGCACGGGAAACCCGCCCTGGAGTTACGCTCGTCGATCGGCGGGGCGGCGACAAACGAGAGCGATTTATACCAAACCCCGGGCGAGGACTCGCAACGACGGTAACGGGACACCCGGTAGAATGGACCGTAGGCGGCGGACAGCGCGTTTTGCGGTGACAGAGCGTGTCTGATGGAGGGTTGTCACGGTGTGGGAGCACCCCTCAGACTTCGATATTAAAGCCCTCCTCTAATATAAGAGCAAAAGCTTCGCTCTCCACCGTCGATATGCTCGCCTCAAACCTTTTTCCCTTCCCGAAGGCAGCGATATCGCGCGCTTGTGTGTCGTTATATTCATACGTGTAGGTCCGATAAAAGGTAGGGGGGGGAGAGAAAACTAAAGGGTAGCCCGCGGAGGTTGAAACGTAGACTCGCGCGTGCACCGAGATTTTGAAGCATCGACTCTCTCGAGGGACGGGGAGCGAGATCTATTTAAGAGAATATATCTCCGCGGTTCCAATTTGTGTACTTCTTCATAATAAGAGGCGGAAGAGAGCTAAGCTGGATTAACTCGAGAGTAAGCATATATACCGCGCGAAACATAAAAGTAAGAAAGGAGCGCCGAGTTCTTCTGTTAGAGATAAAATATCAGGAAATGGGAGAGGAGGAAAGTAGTGCATGGAATCGTCGTCTTCCTAGAAAAATTATATCTTGCTGCGGACGACGAGTGAAATTGTCTACGTTGTTGCACGTGTACGAGGTCAGCCACGTCGTGCAATTCCCTTTGGTTTTGTTCCAAGCTGTATTAGACGACGCAATGTCGATAACAAGAAATTTCAATATTTCCTCCCGTCAACGCGATATCTCCGACGCTGCGTAAGCGTATGCGCGTGAAGAAGACACCAGAAAGATAAAGAGCGAGTCGCACGCGCGTTTAGACCGGCTGCACCCGAATGGAGACACGGGAGAAAGCCGAGAAAAGGGAAGGGCTTACCCACCCACACGCACGTGCGCGCGTACGAGGCCCCTAGACTCCGGCTTCCGTATCCATCTCATACGCACCATTGACCTCGAATGCACGTCCGATAGAGCTTCCCTGAACCTTCTCAAAAATCAAGTTATCTCTATTCTCCGCGCATCGCGGCGTTTGGAATAAAACGCGCCTTGTCGCGCGATATGCCGGCGCGAGTCAAACGGGGAGCGCCTTGCGTCTCCTGCACCGAGAAACACTGGGGGGTCTACCGCGCGAATATCGAAAACAAAAGTCCCATCGCCCTCGAACAATCGCGAATTCGCCAGTTGATTACGCGAATTATTGACCGCCCGAAATGTTCAAAGCGCTCGAAGAAGAGACGCTCGATTATCTATGATCGTCTCGACGTGGAAAGCGCTAAGTAATTTTTTACACTAATTAAAATCGGCAGTTCAAATCCCCGTTTCAGCGAAACAAAATATTGTATGCAACTAGTGCACGCGAGATATCGGGATCGATAGCCGCAATTTACTCACCGTGAACCTTCTGCACCAAACGCTCAACCATTTAATGTCTCGTATGCGTTTTCCCCCGGGTAGCCTGAGGATGATGTCTGTGTAGTTGTACGCCTCCAGTACTCGTGGGTCACTGTTGAAGAGAAAAGGAGGAAATGAAAGTAGTAAAACATAAAAAATTAAACGTAACTGACGCCGCGATAAGGTGCAACTGTAGTAATTATTTCGGAAACGATAAGTTCATGAAACCGGAGCACCTCGGACAACGCTAAAAACTGCGCTTCTATTTCGGAAGTTCAACTGCTTCTGACATTTACATACCGCTCTATTTATGTCACGCCGCAATTAGATGAACCTGATCGACCCGCGCGTGTATTTCTTGCACATTTATAACGCATTCCGTTAGTTAGTTAAATACCGGAGGCTATACGGACTTCTCTTATTCGTTCGAATGACAAATTCAATTGATTTCAAACGCCTTTTGGTGTCATCGGCGAGTCTGCGTGTCGCGCGAACGATCAAGCGAGCAAGGTCGAGGGGAAATGGACGAAGGCGGATTGTGCATGCGGTCAGGGATGTAGAAGGCCGAAAAGAAGGGCGCGGGTAGGTGGTGGTGGTGGTGGCGGCGAGAGTGATGCAGGGCGAACGCGCGGCGGTCCGTGACCAAGGGATGAAATGAAATTCAAAGAGCGCCGTTGTGCGCGCGCGGCCGTGTACGCGGAAAGGGGCGGCGGGACGAGGGGGTGAAAAACAGAAGGAAGGCCGAACGAGTGAGTCGTGCGCGGGAGAGTGCAGTTAATAAAACGAGAATTATACGCCAATCTCGTTCGGATTTCATCTGCGCGAGCACTTTATTACGTTTCTACTCGGCTGCTTCCTACCCGCTTTAGTACACGTTCGAAAAATCGCGTGCAACGAGTATCGTTTTGGTATGTACAGAACGATATTCGTATATACCCGCGGCCTCACCTTTCCGCGTTACACGCGACAGTCGGATTATCAATGTCGCCTAAAATTAACCTTTTTTTATACAAGTAGGATTGAACAGACTAATTAATTTATATCAATTAAGTACTATTTTCCTCTAACAGATAACGTTATTCTATTTACTGTGAGATAAAAAGGAGCTATTGGAATATATCAGTTGAAGAGAACATTTTTAAGACATAAAAATTTTGAGAGCCCAAAGGCTCTAAGAGCTGTTAGAGCGTGGGGCGACTAAAATAGGTAAAAACATTGAATCGGCCTCAATAAAGCCTTGCGTCCGCGATCCAAGAACTATGTCCAAGTTCTAGTCCAGAGAAATGTGTAGCCAATCAACTTGCAGCTTTCCCGTAAAAAATGCTAGTTGCTTGGCTACACATTTCTCTGAACTAGAACTTGGACATAGTTCTTGAATCGTGGACACAAGGCTTAACAAACATTAGTAAATTAATGCAGACTATAACTGGAATCTTATGACTCAAAAGGTTCCTTCCTGTCCTAAATCTTTTTATGATTAATCAACTCTTTAGAGGAGTATACGTTTCGTTCATATAAAATATAATTATAAATATAGAAATGATATCAGGCCTAACTAATTGAAATCAATTATGTGATACGTTTCTCTAATCTAGAGATAATTTCCTATTTGTATGGCTGCAAATTTTTGTACAATTAATTCTTCAGACAAACAATGTTTTTCTCGCATACGCAATGTGTGCATTTATAATATAAACATAAAGGTAAAATATCAATTACCTGCCCTTATCAGTCTCGGGATAGGGTACAATGTAACCTTCGGGATTGGGCTGGCTGGTGTTCCCAACCCAGAAGTAGGCATCTGGGCCGGTGCCGTCGTAGGAAAATCCTTTTATGAATATCGTTGCGTCGTCAACGGCATATACTTTCCCTTTGATGCCGTGTGCGTATTCTTGTAGGGTTCCGATTAATTTACCATAATAATTGGGTTCATTTCTGGCGTAACCTGGAAACAGAACACCATGGTTATTAAAGAGTTCTTTCTCAGGTGCGATTAAAAGCGCATAAATACATACGCGTACAATATACCATCTGTACAATATTTTACATTTACATTGACACTTGCTAAACTTTAATTTATAATTCCAGATTCAGAATCCTTTTTGACGAAATTTGAGAAATTTAATATTTAAAGAATGTGTGCAGACTAGTATTTTTGACATTATTCGTGAAAAATAGAAAAACGCTCTTAATGCAAATATGTGACGGTTTGTACAACGTTCTGCAAATAAAATAATTGCCGACGGAGTACCCGCGGAAAAAGACAAATTTCGATTATTATGTTCTATCCCCGTGCCCTCTTTCTCATGCATTCACACGAGTGCCGTCTGCTTCTCAGCCACGCGATTGTTCGACCTGAGGCTTCTCGAAAAATAGCTACAGCGATTTGTGAAATTTTGTCCAAACGAGCAGCGAGTCGGGGGATACCAAGGAGGAAGTACGCTTCACCCTCGTGATGTAGGTTGGACGCATCGCCGCCCCGATACAAAACCGATGCGATGCCGCCTCGACAGCGCAAAGGGAAGCCGGCGTGGCGCGGTTCCGCGATTTGCATGAATTTCATTTCATTTGCTCGACAGGTCCGTAAAGCCGGGCGTTGTAAATACATATATATCGTGAGATCCACCCGCGGCAGTAGAGATCAGAGGGCGTTTACGACCGGGGCCTGGAGAGCTCATGATCGGCGTGCGTCTGGGAAGAGCAAGTTTAAAAGCCGAAACGCGGGGGGGGGGGGCTCTCGGAAACTTAGCCAAGTACGTTCGAAGGGTAATAGAGGTTCGACGCGAAAAGGTGGAATGAAATTAGCGGATTAGGACTTAGCCCTTAATCCTCGGGGAGTCGGCCGTGGAACACACGCGCGAACCTAAAGACCGTATCTCGCTATCGATTCCCGTAATTCGGTGTATCGAATATGAAAAGTGCTCAGTTAAATACGAGAATGAGAGATTCTTGAGCGTAGTAAAAATATTCCGTTTGATGTAGCGAGACGCGCGAAGTCTGAAAAATGTATAATATTTAATGTCATATCGAGTCGAGCAAAATATTTACGCCATATAGTATTGCATAGCATAATCATTCTAGGAGAAACGGTGGGAAAATACATTTTAAACGTCTCCAGGCATTCTTCCTCTTTCGCGAAGCCAATAAGCACAGATTACATAAAACGCACATACAACGAGATAGCTGCAACTTTTATAATTTATTTTCAAAGATGACAGTAAAGAAGCTAATACGCGGCCAAGCGTGCAAAACTTACTTTCCTCGTTCCATGAGCCTACTATTTTTAATGTGACGTTAATACAAAAAGTAAAATAAATACTGTTTAGTATCTTTGTTTAAAGACGCATAGATATGAAAAGACCCGAGTGTCGAGAAACAACGTAAAAATTCGCTTAGCGGCGATCGTTTAAGTGGAAGTCCCATGTGGAATAAGTGGCGTGCAGCTGGTATCTCTGTATTTAAAATAGCGGCCCGTTAGCGTCGTTGTAGCGCGTTAATTCGTCCCGGTGATTATGGATCCATTAGCGTGGCAGCCAACAAATAGCACGGTACAATCCAATAACCGTCGTGGCCCATAATAAAAGGGGAGGAACCTGGTTTAGGCACCAGTCGGGGGTAGTTTAGTCGGTGGCGTATAGTAGCGTGTATACACGCACGTACACACACACACACATGCACACGCACACACACTCGTTCGTGTGTACCGAGAGCTTCGCAGTCACAGACGCGCGCGTGTCCACGGGATCAGCGAGGGTGGTTCGACACCCTCCCCACCCATGCAGGACGCAGCAGATAGCGATCATTGCGTTCATTGTCGCATCATCGTAATATCCTCCCTATAGCAGGGAGGGTTGGGCGGACGAAGAGACGCTCGCGAGGGCCCAGGACTCCCCGATGGCTGCGCGAAAGTACCGAACGGGGTGGACGATGAGAGAGGGTGGGATAAAAGCCTTCAGCGTCATTTCTAAAGACCGACATCAACGACGTCTTGATCATCAACCTATTTCCGCGGTGCCGTCAACGTGGCTGGATGCTTAGATTTGCTATACCGATACTTCCCAGTATCGTTTAGGATCAAAGTATTATTTCTAGGAATATGTAAAGTATCGTGAACGTCAATGCTACTAGCGCTTGTGTACGTTTAAAAGTGAAATCTAATAAAAATTAGAGATAGAAGTAAATCCAATTGATACAAATCCCATTAAATTTCACTTGTTATCACATCGCGATTATTTTACGATCGCGATCGTTTTACTTGCGGTGGAAGACATTATCTGGGACAGTCGTTGTTCAGTAAGAGTAATATATATCTTACGCTCGATTCGAAGATTGATCTTTACACTGGTTTAAATTCATTGTGCAGTTTTCCGAAAGACTCAAAGGGCCGCGCGCTGTATTGGAGCTCGAATTCGCTCAACATTCGGGATGAATATCGGCTTGGGGCGGCGCAGTGAGCTCGACGGTATGGCGAGCTATTAAATGACGAATCATATTCATGCGCGAACATGCTCGGTATCTTCTACGCCAGTAAAATCGCGAGTTTTAAGCAAACAAGTTGGCCAATTTTATTCATATTCCGACCTGTGACATCAAAATATAAAAAAAACTCTCCGTATATATACATATCTCTCTGCCACTCTGTTAGATAAAAGTTTTCTCGACCCGTGTTAATTTGGATCAAATCGTCGCCTGTAAATATTTCCGCGGATATCTGCACCATTTGTTTTCATGTTGTACATATAACAGCACTCGCGAGACAGCGAGTAATTAAAAGAGATTATTACTTTCGAAACAACGGGATTTTTATATGTACGAGAAAAAAAATAGAAGGATCATCTTACCAGATTCTATACAATTCTGTTGTCTATAGCTAGCTTTTTAATTATCCATCCGAGAGCTCCTAAATTTGTTTCCTGCGTCATAGTCTCGCTATGTTAACAAAAGACTCGTTAAAAATAGATAAGAAGTAAGCATATAATATGTATCCGTGCCCTCTTTGTCGTGTCCGTACATTCGCGCGTGAAATAAAGAGGAGCGCCCACGTTTTAAGAAACTGACACTGAAAGTTAATGAATCTTTAGTGAACGAAGCGAGACTACAACTGATACACCCGAGACATTATTTTATCCATTTGCTTGCATCCCCTACTAAAAAAAAAATTTCAAGACTAATTTCAACAAAATCCCCCCATTGATGCGGGGAGACTCGCATTTAGCTGGTCCAGTACACAAATGAAAGCTCGCCATAGACTCCGCGAGATTCGTTTGAAAGCAGGATATGGTGCTAGGACGATCGAGGGAGTTCGGTCAACATTTGAGCACGGTAAACAGCACCCACTTGTCAATACCCCTCCCTCATCTATCTCTCTCTCTCTCCCCCTGCCGATCAGCTTCCGAATTGCGTATAGGTCCTTCGAATAGTCCCCCGACATACATTGATCTTAAGCCGTAGGGTCTCGTCTCAGGGATCGTCTCGCAACTTGGGAAATGCCCCCCTCGGCCCAGGGCATCGAGCCTTGACGCAAAGCATATTGCACGCAAATGCGTACGCGCGAGCGCAAGGTTCGTTAGCGCGTGACGTATGATGGTCTTTACTATCACTATGACGAATCCGAGGGATCCTTTGTGCCGCGCATTCAACGGATGATCGACCGGACCTAATCCGCTTTTTGCTCGACAAAGCGCGAACGCGCATCGCGATGTACGTGTGCACGTAACGCGGTGACGGATCCGGGACAAAGTGGCTGGATGCGCGTTTGCATTTGCGGCGTCGCGTCGCGACATCGCGCTCCTCCCCGTGGGAGAACGCGCGCGGTTTCGTTGTCTCGGGTCGCGCGTGGAGAATCGGTCTCGCGTGTCGCGGTCCGCAACGCGGGAAATCCGAGCCCCTCGGAAATTGTATCCGCTCTTCGGGACGCGTTTACGAATCCGCGTCGCGATTTTCAGTTCCTGCCGATTATCCGCCGGCAGGAAGGGGAGGAAAGGGAGACCGATTTTCTACGATCGGCTTCGCGATTCGCGCGTTCGAAGCAGGGATTGAACGGCGGCTCTCGGAGAGACATTCCTAAGCCGGTGTGCGATCGGCTGTGCACAACGTACGTGCGCTTTCACTTTCTTCGAGCACCGATCGCGCAACGCGGTCGACCGAGCGAGCGAGCCAGCCAGCCAGCCAGGCGTTCCTCCGATATCGCGTTCGATCGCAAGCGAACAACGGCGGGAGATGTTCCCAGATGATTCCCCGTCGCACCGAACGCCGGGTTTTCTCCGGAGCAGAGAAAGTAACGGGGGACGGCGGGGGACTCTCTGTGACTTAGGACGTTAACGAGACTAACCGGATTCATCGCGCGGCGGCGGCGGCGACGGCGACGACGGGAGCGGGAGAACCGGGGAAACGCCGAAGAAAGGAGAGCACCGGGCGGTGGCACTGATTTTAATCAAGATATGGCCTGGCAGCAGCCAACGGCGGATCAAGCGAGCCAGGGCTTATCGATTTTCTAAGTGCTCCCGACCGACAGTGCCGTCGTCGCGACACCCGGCGTGAATTTGAAACTAATGGAAAGAGAGATTTGCACGCGCGCGTTTTATTATTCGCCCGATCGTCAGGCATTCAGACGAATTTTTTTTTAAAAAAAGAGCATCCCTTGTACTTTTCTTTGCAATCAGCGAGTTGCAGAGTAGTATTTAGGCTTATCGTCATCGAATGGCGCTTACTTCAAATCTGAGATTGTAGAACTATAAGAATCTCTTGTGGAGAAATTTAAAAAAAAGCGCCTTTAAATTACTTTCCAGCATTCAGTTTAAATACTCACATCACGCACAAACCGTAGGATGAAACTATTTTAACAGAACTTCCGATATAAATTTCAGAATTAAAAATAATTTTTCTTTTACTTTTCAAATATGCATGTATGTGAATCCTCTCTCTCCTCTCAACTTTTGCCAACCT